ATATAAATATAAATTGACTACAACTTTGTTGTTTGTTTGGTTTGGTTTGGTTTTAACTAAGAAGGTCTTTTGTTTTTCTTTTATTAGTTATTTGCTAGTGGCTCTTGGTATGTATCGGAATATCCCACTGAGCAGCATGAGGTCAGTTTTCATCTAATGCATCATTTTAGATGACTGAGATGCCCTCCTTGCTGTGTCTGTAGTGGCAGGGGTTCCCTTGATATCAGATCTTCCAAAAACACCTATGCTGTGGTATGGGATAATACATGATTTTCATCATTTCTCTAAGCAGCAGCAGCATTCTTTACATAAACAGCTAGGTATTAGTTTACCGTTAGTTGAACAAACCTCTAATGCTTAGGAGAGAAAGACTGTTCCTCAAGTTGACAAGAGTAATTGTTTTAAGAATTTCAATACAATTTAACTTGACAGAGAAAAATAATCATTGTTTCTTAGAACCACCTGTCTTTTTGAAGAGAATAATTACCCATAAAATTACTGTAATGATTCTTCTCAGGCTTGAAATAAAATGTTCTGTGCTTATCCCTAAACCATGAAAAGTGATGATGGTTAAGAGACGGTTTGAGGGGGGGTGGGTCTCTAAGGGTTGCAGGGGCTCAGTAGGATTTACAGCACTTCTCATTATGGAAAAATGTTTTATAATGGACATCTCTCAGCAGGAGCTTGGGAGTTCTGCAGAGATAATTGCTTTTCAGCAGTCTGCACTAAGTATTCTGTGTGCACAAAAGTGAATGGACTAACAAATGAATGCATTTAATCTCACCTGCCAAGAAAGTCTTTCTGTCCTTATCACACAGAAGTTACTCAATGTTTGTGTTTTTATTTTCCCCTTGTAAGGGTGAAAGCAGTTGTTTCCCTGCTTCCTCTGACCTTTTTCCTGCCTAATGCAATTGCACTTAGGAATAAGGCAAATATGTAGTGACTGTAAACATGTCTTTACTTTTGACTTACTCATGACTTGACTTCTTCCTTTCTCACTCCATATTCCATTCACCGTTATCTCTTTTTCATCTTGTTCCTTTATTATTTTCCCATTCATCCCTCTACCTCTGCCCATCTGCTTCTCTATTCTTTCTCTCATCCCTTTTCTAGTCCCCTACATTCCATCCTTGTTATCCTTGTATTTTCCTTAAAAATTCAGCCTCTCTCTTGGTCTTTTTCAAAACCCCTGTTCTATCTTCTCCTGCCCAGATCCCTTTTTCTCAATATCTCCCTTCCTCTCTAAGGAACACTTTTAGGATCCTGTTTGTTGTCTCTCTTGAAACTCAAAGAAGGAGGAAAACCTAAGCATTCTCCCAAGCTTTCAAGTGATGTAGTCCTGTCGGAACATGAATTACACAGCTTAACGAGTCAGACAATTTTATGGAACCAGTCATCTATGAGAGGCTCTGCACCAGTCATCTATGAGAGGCTCTGCACATACACATGACTTCTGTATCTTGGTTTTTCCTCTGCCAGTTTTCTCAGTTGCTTCACTCTCAGTTTCTCCTCACTGAATGAGCAAGAAGATGTGAGAGATTGCTGTGATATTTCTGCTGTTTTTGTGCATTGACTGCAAGCCCATAAAGCTGTGGCAGTCAGGGAAGGATTGCTCTCATACAAAGCAGGCATGTGGGCAAACCTAAGGTTGCTTCTATTACATATATTAAACAGGAGGTCACCTTGGGCTGAGTGTATTCAGTAACTAAATGCAAAAGCAACTAAAAAGTGGCAGTTGTGCCACTTCTGTGGCAGCAGAATCACCAGATGTGGCTCTGTTCCAACGCACTGTACTGGTGCTACTCATCATTTTGAACCCTGCTGAATGTCATTTTATAACTGATAATTTTACATTTTAAATCAGCTGCTACCTCATGTGAGCTACACAACACTACAGATGGATTAAAACATGGATGGCACACTGCAGAAATAGGTTTTCTATAACTGATAAAGCCATGAAGGAACAGACTGTCTCTGCCAGCTGCCACACCAGCTGAAATAGACCTATGGTAATTACACCAGTCAGGAAACTTCACTAGCACTGAAAGATATTACCAAGCCAAAAATGCAAAAGCATGCTGGCAGCAATGCTAAAAAAAACCATGGGAAATAAGTCTCTTACAGCTCTCTGAAAGACCCACTGTAAAAAAACAAAACAAAACAAAACAAAACAAAACAAAAAGCACCAAAAAACCCCACATGCACAAAAAAACCAACCCACAAACCACAAATAAAACCAACAACCAAACAAAAACCAGCCAAAACACAAAACCACAAAAAAACCAACCCACCAGAAAGCAAAATCCCAGGGCAAACACCAGAGAGCTTGTAATTATAATAATTTCCCATATTGCTATTTTCATCTAGTTGAACCAGCTCATACTAGATACCATTCCTCGTGGTGCACTGCATTTTATATCACTAGAAATATCAGGGGAATCAGGAGAATAAGATAACAGCTACTTTGATGGTGTTTCTGGTCTGCCCCTTTTTTTTAAAAGGGTTGGTGTTCAGCTGAAATGCTGAACTATTTAAAGAAGCAAACAAATTACTTCTACTAAGATGAATCCTTGCTCAACAGAGAAAACTTACCTATTTACTGCCATACATTCCAACTACGACCTGTAGCTGCTCGTTTATCAATAACTGTCTTTACACTGATAACATTTTGTTTCCTGCTAATGCAAAAAATAGTCATAAGCTTTGACAATATACTCTTTGGATGATGTACATTTACCATGAAGTCAAAAGAAGGCTGAGCCCTAACAGTGGTGGTGTTTTTCCTGGATGAAATGCAGTATCAGGAGGATTTATGGATGGCAGATTGTAAATACTGCTGCCCAAGTTAGATGGGATATTCTGATGCTCATCTGGCTCCATTTCTTGGGAGTTGTAGTGGCACATTAAGGACATCTGCTTATGCTAAAAAAAAGTAATCCTTTTACTGGTGATACTATCATTGCCTTCACAATAAAGTAGTATAATTTCCTTAAATTTCAGGAAGAAGTAGGTACCTAATGGTTTGCATTGTTAGAAAAACAAATTATATGCTAATTGAAAGCAATACAAGATCCTAAATGCAGAGTGCTACATTTGTCTTTATTGAAATATCTCCTATAGTTTCAGCTCATTTCTTCAGTTAGCCATGACATTTCTGAACTCATACACCAAAGTACAACCATTTTCTCTTTCCATTTTCCAAGTTGTTTATGATAATATTGACCAGTACTGCATCAAAGAAATGTGTTTGTGAGTCTCTCTTTGCTCTTTCTCTCTTTATATGGCTATCTGTATGGCAGTACCTCAGAAATAAGTACACTCTCAGAAATTTTTTAGCCTCCTTGTATCTCTTGTATCTAGATGGTAAAATCTAGAAACATCATATAAGATAAAAGCCTTATTTAATTCAATAGGTGATGTGTGCTGGTTCTGTGCCATGTACAAAAATATTTCCCATCACAAAACAATTGATTTGACATGATGTACTTTTGACAAATTTGTGCTGATTCTTGCTCATCTCCACTCACAAACTGCCTGCAAAGGGTTTGTTTTGATATCTTTCTGACAGTTAAATGTACCTCTAATCCTTGGTCTGTTCTGCTACTGAAAAAAAAGGATAAATATTACCTTTATAAGTTCTGGGAAAGTATCATTTAAAGGCTAACATAAGGACGATCCAACTATTTTTCCAAATACTACAAGAACTTTAGTTTGGCTACATCTAGCTTAGTTAAGCTAAAGTTAAAAACGGCACTAAAATTGCCATTTTCAAAGCCTCTCATAAGAATGAAAATTTAAAGACTTTATGAAAGTATGATCACAGTCAAAGAAATCTTGTGAGATTATTATACTAAATGTTGGGATCCATATATAAATTATATGTACTTATTCCTAGAAGATGAGGCCAATCATTGCTGTGGTCTCCAGATGCATCTTCAATATGAATAATTAATAATTTACCTTAGGGA